AGGTATAAATGAAGAATTAAATTTTGTTCAAGTTTTGTTTTGTAAAAAAATTAAATATAAAAAATAATTTATTATATCAATCAAAATAAATATTAGAAATAATTTTGTAAAAAATAAAAGAATATTGAAGAAATAAAATTGTGTAAATTAACTTTTTAAGAAAAAAACGCTGAAATTTTTAGAGAATTCTCTAAATTCTGCTGAATTTTATTTTACAAATTTCAGCTTTCATTTTAAATAATTATTAAAATAGGAAAAAATAAAAATTTATTTTCAAATATTTTGTATGAACTTTTAAATACAAACAAATAATTTTAGCAATTTTCTATATAATTATTTTTGGCGTGACAGGTTGCAACCTATTTTTAAATATTTTAATAAATACTAAATTAAATAGTTGTTGGAACTCGTTGCAAATATTTTTGTAAAATAGGCTTATTAACATTTTATGATCAAATGATGGGAAGGGTTACTCAAAAACGACCCATTTTTGATCCGTCTCTGGCAACTCTCTAATATACCACCTAGCACCACAGTTCACTGATATATCAACGAAATTTGGTCCCGAAAAGTGGGGTATTAGAGAGATACGACTGTAAAAGAAAAGCTAAGAAGATCTAATAATCAAAGTTAGAGTCATCGGTTCCTAGAAATTCTTAGGATATCCGAAACCAAACCGAAAAATCATTGGTTCTTCAGTTCGGTTCGATCCAAAACCGACAACCCTAATCAAAGTCTTAAATAAAAATAAATTTTTATAAGAAATGTTAAATATCAAGAAAAAATAAATTTACTAACTAAATATAATTTTGCAAAGGATTTTTTAAAATAAAAAAATATAAAAGAATATACATTTTATAGATGTTTTTTATTTACAGATGTACACAAGCCAAATAAATGATAAATATTTTTTTCAAAAAAATATTTAGATAAGGCCGCAGCTGCATAATTGTTCTTTGTATTTTTTACAAGAAATAAGGTTTTGTGTTATTAAACCAAAAAAGGGGTTTATTAAATAAATGGAGTGTGGAACGAACGGGTACGGAATAAAAATACTATGTTTATTTTTGTATTTATAATCAGGTCGGGTAAAAATAATTTAAGGAAATAAAAATATTTTTGAATATTTTTTCCAAATTTGAATTCAATTCTCGTTTAGTATTAATTTACTTAAGTTACTAGAATGGCACTCTCCAGTTGAATGTCATCCTCTAAAGAATGCCACTTTAGAAGGTGATTGAAAAAAGAATGCCATGGCATTCTAATAGAGAAAATGTGTTAAGTCTAGTAAGTAGATTTGAAAAATGTGGAAGGACAATGGCTAGATTCGGTAAGAGGTCATTTCAGAAGGTCTTATCGATAAAATAGAATGTGGTAAATAGAATATTCTGTTAAATATCAACGGTTAAAAGAATTTTGAAAAAAATAAAAGATAACATTAAAGCTGGTGAACCTCATGCAAAATGGTGTTACTTTTGAAAATAAAATGGAATTTAATAAAAGAATTGACTCTAGTTACTTTTTTCTCGTGAACTTTTATGCGTCCCATCAAAGTATATGCGTCCCAAATCCTCAATAGGCTTTCCAAATTCCACGATATCACTCTTAAATCCCAACCCAAGATATCTCTTAATCCTCCCCCACAAATCCCTATCTCTGTTAATCCCCTAAATTTTTATTATCCTAATCCCTCTATATCCACCAATCTTGACTCAACTTTTCAGTACCCCATGCAAAATTTTTGCGAATTCTGGAAGCCCAAGGACCCGTATTCCTTCCATTTTCAGTGCCGGTGGCAATTTATGGGATTAATAAAAAAAATCCCGTACGGGATAATAATAATAAAATTAAAGCCAAAGAATTTATACATAAAATAGTATTATTTCGTTAATTTATTGTATTTTTAAGTAAATTAACAAAATTTAGAAAGTAAAACGATAAAAAGAAAAATTAAAAATAAAATTTTAATCAGCTAAAAATGCAAAAAGTGCAGTATAATAATTACTCATCTTTCTCTCTCTCCAACTAAAACATTTGCGGCGCGAAAGCAAATTTCCCCGCAATTTCATCCAAAGCTAGGTATAAATATTAAAAAGAGAGGAGGGAGGGATATTTTCGGGTAAAAATGTATATAATAAATAAATTATATATTTTTGGGGCTTTGTGTTATTCACGGCTTGATTGTATTTATTTGTTATAGGTTGCTTTTAAAAAGATAAGAGGAAGGGGGGGGGGAGTTGCTGAGGGAGGGAGTGCCTTTTCCCAACAGAAATGAGCGGAAACGCAATGGGGCGCGAAATGTCTTCATTTAATGGAATTGCTAGAAGATCAACAAAATATATGTTGATCAAAGTTTTGTTTTTAAAATTAAAATAAAGACAAAAATTGGGAGAAGAGTATAAAGTTGACACGCGCTCAGACCTCTCCAATCTAGGGACATTAAGGAGCAGTATTCTAAAAACGAGGTAGAGGTTACCGGTATTCTAGAGGTTACCAGCTCTTAGATGCGGGTAGGTTAGTTGACCCAGAATCCTTATTCCAGAATCTGGTAAGGGCAACCAGCAGCTACGGATAATCATCGGGTTCTGGGTTGATTTTTCTGGAATAAGGGTTAGGCCTCACTCAGGGTTCTATTACCCGAGTAGGAAGAACTTGTTAAGTTTACCTAGTACCCCTACCCGCTTCTTAGCTTTTTTATCCGTTTTTATGCAAAATTCAGAAGGGTTGGAGTGAGGTTTATAGTTGATAATCAGGATACTGATCATTTGGGTTGTATTTATTTTATTTTAGGTTTGATAAAAAATATATTAAAGTTGCAAAGCGAAATAACATTCTAATATTTCGGAGAATAATTTAAAAGGGAAAAAAGTTGGAATAAGTGAATGGCTCTAAGAATAAAAGGCGTTCAAATGTGATAATAAAATAAAAAGCTTTTTTCTTTTTAATTAAAAATTTATTTATTTACCTTCTTTTTATTTTATATATTTAGTGGATTTGCGCGGATTTGTTGTTCTGATTGCGCAAGTAGAGAGGAAGAGAGAAGGAGTTTAAGGGAATCCCAAATCTTGTTTTAAAAGATAATTTGTAAATGGAAGAAGAATATATAAATAAAGATAAAATTTAGATTTTAGAAGGAAATAAATAGAAAAAATTTAGAAAATTGTTTAAAAAATCTTAAAAATTTTGGGTATCAGAAACAGTGCTGGGTATGGCTCCGGGAGCTATGTAGCTCTCGGAGTCGGAGCCATCCCAGCAATGATCAGAAATAAAATTTTACATAAATTTTCGATTCGAATTAAAAATTAAAAAAATAGTCTAAATATTAATGAAATTACAATTGTAATTCAAATAAGAATTTAAAATTAAGGGTTCGGTTTTACAAAATTCTTTGGGTAACCGAAACCAACCCGAAAAACCGAACCGAAAATCTTCGTTTTTTTGGTACGGTTCGGTCTTAAACGACAACCCTATTCAAAATATATTCACTATTCAAAATTTCTTTTATTGCAAAAATTAAAACGAGATCGAAAAAAATATTTAAAATTGAATGAAAAAATAAAATCAAAAAATCTCTCGTATAACAAAAAATTAAAGGGACTATGATTTTATAGATGTTGCTAGAAACTTAAAAAATAAAGATAATCCCTGCCCCTACATTAAAATGTGATTTAAATTACAAATTGAATTGATGACTCTTAAATGTTCTACGAGGGATCTTACAAATTTCTATCAGAAAACCTAAGAAATTTACAGGAATTTTTAATGTTTTACGAGTTTAATAAACAATATTTATTAGTAAAATGTATTTATAAAACTAAATTAAACTTTTAATAATTATTTAGTAAAGTTTGAATAACTAATAGAAAATAAATATATACAAATATACATTTTACTAATACAAAAAATATTATAAAAAATGGCAGAGTTTATGAGGTTTGTGATTCATTTTTTTTTTATTTCTTCCAATATTTTTATTTTTTTTATTCATCCACCAGAAGCCTTGTTATGCGTAATTATTTTTTTATTTCTTTTCTCAGAGTTTGGAAATTTTTGTAAAAAATATTTTTAAGGGAAATAAATATCGGAAAAGGCTTTAAAAAAGAGGTGAATGATGATTAAATAAAAATGTTAAATATTTAGTTTAGGAATGAATGAATCTAAAATAAATAAATATATAGACGGGGTGATCAGAAATAAATGGGACAATTTATTCCTTATAAGTTTTGTTGTTTTTCTGTGAAAAATTTTTGAAGAAATCTTTTCAAAAATATTCTGTGAGGTTGGCATTAAAATTGGGGGTTGCAAACCGTGCCGATGTTCGAGTCATTTTCGGGCCTGATTTTTATCGAACCGGGCCGTCGAGCCTTTTTCAGGCCAAAATTCGATGCCCGGTTCGATCTTTCGAGCCAAACCGGGCCTCCAACCCTAATTGATATGACATGGATCTTTAAAATTGGGAAACTAGTACCTCTTCAAATTCCTCCATTACAAAAATCCTAGTTTTCTATAGATTATGAGGGAAATAACATGTTCCATTAGTTTCTGGTCACTCTGTATTTTTTAGATTTATATCGTTTTATTTAGAAAAATAATTATTCATTGCCGAATTAGAGATTAACTAAAAATAAAAATTTTCAAAATAATTTTAAATTTTCGAAAAAATGGAGGAATGTCAACGAAATTTTATTTGAAAGAATAAAACAAATAATTGTTGTTAATAGGGTTGGATTTTTCGAACCGGGCTTAAAAGAATCTTTTTAGGGCCAAAATTCGAGGCCCGGTTCGATCTTTCGAACAGAACCCGGCCCCCAACCCTATTGTTAATCACTAAAAGGCACTAACAAAATAATTACTTTCTAAATTATTTGCGAAATTAAAGAGTGATGATGATCTTACAAAAATTAACAGAAAGGGACAAAAAGAAAGTAAGAAATAATTTTTTTGAGTAAATATATCTTTTAATCAGCTAAATGACACAAACAGATTTTCAAAAAATTATTTTATTTACAAGTAAAAACTTCTGTTAAGTTTCTACAAGTCTCACAAATAACTTGACAACACCATTGGAATTTACAATTGCATTTACTTATTACCTGAAATTTTGAGAAAAAACATTTTTTAAATATTTTTTAAATTTACTTCTTCAATGTGACTTTGATACCCTCTATTACAACATAAAAGATCACACGAATTTGGAGCATCTGGATCAATACTACAAAAATAAATTTTTAAAAGAATAATTTTTTCTAAAGTAAATTACGAGCATATTCTTCCTTCGGTTCCTATAGTTCCGTCTATTTGATCATCTTGACAATAAGTTGGGGATTGATCCTGAAATAGTAATTTTAGTTTAAATAATTATTATTCTATAATAGTTTTATAAAAATTCTGAATTTTTGTAGAGTGTCCATTTATTATATAGAAATCCATATTTTTTCCTGAATTCCTATGACTGAGAAATGTACGAAAAACATGTTTTTGGCTTGTTTTAGGGTTTCTGGGATGGTTTGTAAATCCATATTTTCCATATTTTTCCATATTTAGCCTTTATATCCATATTTTTTTATTAATATCTCCCCTTTTTTGAATATTTTGGTCCAGATTTAGTCATTTTTTGCTAAACGATGCAAAGTTAAAAAAAATTATTGTTTTCTACATAAAATACTGATTTCTAAAATATTTTATTAAATTTTGATCCATATTTCGGGATTTTATATCCATATAAATGGACACCCTAGTAATAAATAGACAAAATGTTCGTATTTAGTAACGTATATACTCTTATTAATTACCCCGGGTAATTAATGTTTCAACCTTTCAATGGAGGGGGAAATTAACAAAGGCGAGGTAATTATTTGAGGTAGGGTAATTAATAGAGTATATAGGGTAATTCTGATATATAAATTTTTTTAATTGGACGTAAATACTATAACAAAAAAGTGATATATCCGGAAGTGATATAACCACTCAAAATTTTAGACGTAGAAGATCAGTTTCACCTTATAATCAGAAGTTATATAAATTATTTTGAAAATTAGGTATTATAAATGAAAACATATTGTATCAAAATTTCAGAAGGATATGGCAAGGTAAAACCGATTTGCACCAAAAAATTTGGGTGGCATATCATTTCCGGTTGTTTTAACAACCCTCACACTTATTTTTAAAATTTACCAAATAAACTAAATCTGTCAATGCTCGATTATTATTATTATTATTTCTTTGTCTTCTTCTTTGTTTCTGTTTTTCATTTAAAGCTCTTCGTTTTTGACTTCTTTCTAATGGATAATTTGTTTTTTGTTGTTGGGTTAATGAAGGTAGTATTGGGTCCTCAAATTGCATATTGCCCCGACTGTTGATTTGAATACGTCGGGCAGTACGGTATTTGGCCTGAAATTGCTTTTTAATTTGTTGGATAAATTTAAGTAAGGTTGGCGTAGATGCCCGAAATTTTGAGATTCAGATACTTGTTTAAGGTATCCGGTTATCTTCAAAAGAAAAAGTGCAGAATACGAAAAAGGCTCGTCGAGCGGAGTTAAATAACACCAAAATTATGAGGGGCTCGTAATTCTGGGCTGGGATGCCGAGCTTCTTGAATGAGCTATAATTTGTATATTCACAATTTTCGCCGCAAAAATGATTTCTCTCCATGATTTTTCGATTTCCAAGGGCCCGTATCTCGGCCCAGTGTAGCTAGCGCCTCATAATTTTGGTGTCATTCAACTTCATTCGACGAGACCTTCCGAATGACATATATCTTGCCATATTCATTAATTATGGCAAGATATATGTCATATATGTTAAGATATATGTCATTCATTCTGCACTTTATCTCTTCTAGAAACCGCAAAACTTAAATAAGTTGGAATTATAGGTAAATACAAACTTGTAAAATGTTGCCAATTTGGCGAATTGGAGGCTAAAAATAATTTAATAAATTTAAATTATATTTAAGAAAAAATTAACTAATTGCATCCAACAAGTTTTTAAATTACAAGAACCACTAACTCCATGACATTTACATTTAGGTTTTGTATGTCTTTTTAAAATCTTTAAATAAATAAATTTAAAAATTTATTTATTATTAACCTTCCTTCCAACTTCATTATTCCACCGATTCATTAAAGAACGACCATGACCTTCAGCATCTCGTTTAATACTTTCCTCCTTCTCTCGAACATCCACAAAGTCACTAAATATTTATTTTCATTTCCGTGAATGGTCATAAGAAAATTAAAAGGAAATTTTAACAAGGGTATTGGGGGGGGGGGTAACCTAGAGCGGGATAAATAAAGGAAGTCACAACTCTCTCATTACAAAATACTCCCAAAAATTCAAAAATTATTTAAGGCACAATCGCATTCATTACCGCGAAAATCTATATCCATAGTCGATATTATCCCCACAACCTCCCCAAGTCCAGTCATCATTAATATTTTGTTGTTGCGGCCTAGACTCTGCAGCAGCACACCCACAACTTTTAAGCAGCCCGAGACGACAACGACGACCAATTTCATGGGTAACGCCTGCAGACATAATTGCATAGGTAAATGCTGCCTCTCTAGTACCTCAAAGAAATTTTAAAAAATTTTTTAAATAAAAATTTCCTTAATAAAAGATATCACTATCTCTCATTTACCTCTTTTATGCACAGGTCCAATATGCCCTTTCAGCTCTCTAGGTGTTGAACAATTCCAGCGGTGATGTCGGAATTGCCATTCACATTCCTTTTAAGTTAAAAAACAAAAACTTTAAAAAGATTAAATAATCCATGAGAATTTAGCTTTGAGGAGGTGAATAAAAATAAGGAAAGCTTTTGTGTATATTTTTTGTGAAAAAAATTAATTTACAGAAATAGCCTGTTTTGCACCATTTCCAACCGCCGGCATGTGATCTTTGAAGAGTTCGCCTATTTAAAAATCAAATTATTTTTGGATAACAATAAGGGCATAAAATTTTTCAATTTTTAGTAATATAAGCTAAAATAAATTATAAAATCTCCTAAAAAGCATATTACCATTTTTTAGAATTAATAAAATCAGAAATTAAATCAAAAGAAAAATTTAAAAAGTCAAAATTAGGATAAAAATTATTTCCTCATTTTTTCATGTAAATTCCAAAAAAATTAGTATTTAATTTTCAGAAAAAATAATTACCGTATTTCCTGAAATAGTACTGCCGGCAGTACTATTTTTCAATCCTCCACTAAAGGGCAGTATTATTTCAGGGGGCAGTACTATTTTAGGAAATACGGTATTTTAATGTTTTTCTTAATTTATTCGACTAATTCTTACAAATTCTTTTCTGTCCAGGTGAAAGCCCTTTTAATTCTGTACATTCTGTGGAAGGTGAAGGAGGGTATTGTTGTTTAGGATAATTGTTCTGATTATTTTCTTGATAGTAAAAATTATTTGGATTTTGTTGGTCTTTTAATTCCTCTAATTGTTGTTGTAAATTAAGTTGGCTACTTAACTGGGCAACCGATGACCTTGGGAATTTTTTATGATTTTTTTTTGAAAATTTAAAGTGAAATTCTGTTAATGAGTATTCGTAATTTTAATATTTAAGGGTTGATAAAAATTCCAGAAATTTTAAAACAAAATTAAAAATATTTCTGACCACCAAGAAACATCAAGCATTGCTTCTGCATTTTTTAAAATTGAAAAAATAATACATAATAAAATAAAATTAGAGGTATATTGACGTATATATTTAATATTTTTATAAATTTCTTTTGTTGCTTTACATCCCCTATTTGGAGGCATCTGCAGAATTTTGTTAAGAATTCTAAAAAATATATTAAAATTAAAAAAAATATTAATTGTTATTAATTTAATAAAAGAATTTAAAAATCTTATTAAAAAAGAGAAAGATATTCTTTTTATTTTTTGAAATTCACATTTTAAAATTTTTAATTTTAAAATTCACACAATCAATTTTAAATCACTTAAAGTTTTGATGGGAGTTTCCAGTTTCGGATTTACATTTCTTATTTTTTTTACATTTCTTCCGGCAAAATCTCTATTAATTATCCTTTCTTATTTTAAAAAGTGAATTTTTTACATTCTTTTCTAGTTCTAGTCAGAATTACGTAAATTCTAAAAATATCATGAAAATGTTTATTGCCAAGGCATAAAGTAATAATTTTATTTCATTATCATTTTTCATACAATTTTAGTTGTTTTTAGGAAAAAAGGAAATTAAAAACTACCAGTTTACTTAAAATTTATTTAAAACCCTAAAAATATTTATAATTTAATTCTTTATTTGATAATAATTTCCAAATTATAATTCTAATTTTCTGAGAGGAACTCTGATTAAAAATGTTAGGTAAATAAATCTAGAATTATTAAAGTGTTATAATCGTCCTTAAAAATGTGTAACAATCCAAAAAAGAATTTAATAAATATTTTTATAATTTTATAAGTTATTTAGACAAAATTTCCCGATACAAATTTATTTTAAATTTTTAATTTGCAACAATTTTGGGTATTAAATAAATTTGTTTTTCGTTACTGATAGTGCTATAATCTGTTGGGAAAATATATTTTAAAGCCGAGAAATTAAAGTAAATAAATAAATATATTTGGGGACAATAATTGATAGAAAATAATTTATTTACAAAATTCGTAGTCAGATTTTTAATTTTAAAAGTAAATTTTTGGAATACCTATTTTAAATTAATAAATTTATTTCCGAAAAATAAAATACCGTATTTCCTAAAATAAAGCCACATGCTAAATTAGTGCCCCACCCTAAAATAGAGACCCACTTTGGAGGATAATTCAAAAATAGAGCCCCATGGGCTTTATTTTAGCAAATACGGTATATTGAATATAAAATTATCTTATTTATTAAATAAGGATAGTTTGGAAAAAGGATTGTCGGATAGTTGAAAATCTTCGGAAATCCTGATTTGAAAACCTTATTTTTAAAAATTTCTAAAAAATTAAACAAAATTACACACAATTAATTTATAAAATACATTATTTTAATAAAGAATTTGAAAAATAAAATATTTATGTAAAGCAGTATGTGTGGTGTAGTAATTTGGATAGCATCGAGAAATATAGGAAATGAATAAATGTACTAGGTAATGAAAATAAAAGTTAAAAATGGACAGAAATTGAAGGGGAAGTGGGGAAATGGACTATTAAATATTTATATTATTTTATTACTAATAAAAAAGATATAAAATTTTTTTATCTAATTTTGTTAATTAAAAAATTTAATTTTAATATTAATTTTATAAGGGAATATTTGAAAAATAATTATAAAATTAAGATAATTTTAAAAATAACGTATTTTTTCAAGTAATTCCATACCCCAAGTATGGGTCTAAATATTAATTCCCACCCCCAAGTGCCCACTGAACGATCAAATTTCAAAAATCGAATAATTCCTCATCAGACAGATAGAATGGAATATTAATTCCCCAAGGTAACTAATCGAGTAAATACGGAAAAAATTAATTAATTAATGAAAGGATAAAAGTAAATAACAAAAGATAAATATTCTTCTTTATAGAGACCGGACTGGGAGAGTCGTACGAAAAAATTAATATCGGCAACCGGGATTTTTGATATGGAACTGGTCTCGTTCCAGTCTATTTATTTACCGAAAACTTCAATTTAATAAGAATTCGATCACATGGGACTCTTATCAAGTGAATAAATGAACACCCAAAGGATCTGTAGACTTATAACAAAAAAAATTAAGAATTTTCGTCGAAGAAACACGGAATTTATTGATATAGTCTGTTGTGTAAAATTTATGAAAAACTAAAAGAAATTTAAAAAATTTTGTTTTTGGCTGTTTTTGTTTAAAAATTCTTTTTATTTGACAAAAAATATATAGGAAAAATAAACTATTCTCAATGAGAATAGAAAATATAAAAGAATAAATTGTAAAAAAAGGTGGGAAGACAAAAAGAAAGTCTGCGCCATAAAATTTTTTGGACAAATAAAAATAATAAAAAGGAGATGAATCTGATAAAAAAGGAGTTTGTTATTTTATTGAGAAAATGTGTAAAAATAAAAAAATTAAATAAAAATATATGTAAAATATAGGCAGGTGGTGAATTTTGAATTTAAAATAAATAATTAGGAAATTTTAAATTGAGGGGGGTTTTAAAGGGGTTTTACTAATTTAAAGAAGCTAATAAGGTTTTGAAACTGGAATTATTGAAATTTTTGCCAAAAATTAACCGTCTTTAGATAATTTTAAAAACCGAAAACCGGAAATTTGTGAAAATGAGTGATTCTGTTAAAAATTCCCCCAAAATAAAATCGGAATTTGGCTAAAAACTCAAAACCGAAAACCGGGTTTCGAAAATTTAGGTTAACCAAAAACCGGGGGTATCGGTTAATAACCGGTTGCCAACAACCCTAGAAACTAACCAAAATGTCAGATTGTTTGAATAAATTTTTAGATAAACAAAAAAATCCAAAGTCCTTATTAACGAAAAATTAAAAATTTAATTAAAGGACTTGTCGACAAAATTAAATTTAAAATAAATAAATTAATTTAATAATTTATTTTGTTTAACAGAGAAGGCTATTTACAAGTTAAAAAAAGGAAAAAAATTAATTAAATATTCTTTTTCAGAAATTTTTTTTCTAAGTTTAAGTTTAAAGTAAAAAATAAAGAAAAATTTCCATGTGCGGAGTTTTGAAACAAAAGAATTATGCCATGTAAAAAATAAAATAAAAAACATGTTTGGAAGGTTGGTAGTACCTGGAGAATGGATGAGGTTAACTATAACTTAATGAAAATTTTTTTAATAATTTTATTGCAAAATAAAATATATTTGGCACTTGAGTTATTTAAAAAGCTTTTAATAACATATCAAAAAATGTTTTGGACAAACATTTTTCTTTTTATTACAAATGAAACATATGCGAAATATTGAAATAAATGTTTTCAAAGTCAAAGTTGATTTAGGCAAGCTAGATTTTTATTTAAATTTTTTATAGCGTATTTGCTAAAATAATTACTCAGGGTAATATTGTTTCAACTTTTCGCTGGAGGGGGTAATTAAAAGGGAAGGGGTAATTATTTTAGCTATTCTGAAAAGGGCTAACAAAACTAGAGTTTTTTAATTAATTTCTTTTGTAAGATTTTCTTAGGAGGGGTAATTATTTTTTCGATCTCTGGCTGAGGGGTAATTAATAGGGAGGCGGTAATTATTTGAGAGAGGGACATTATCTCAGCATTTACGGTAATACATTTGGTTGTGAGTTTGGACAAGTATTAATTGGCTCTACTCCAGTTTATGCGTCCAATCGACTTTTATGCGTCCAATGGAAGTTTATGAGTCCAATCAAAGAATAATTGGATTTTTCTTGGTATTACAAAGTAGGGGTACGGTTCCAAAACATTTCTTCATGTTCGGGACCTACGCCCAATGGGTCTGGAACCATTCCTTGCCCTATCCCTCGAAATTTCGGAAAGTCATAATTGTTTTTTCGAAATTTTTAAAAATTGGCTATAACTTTCAGAAATTTCGAGGTATATGGTAAGGAATGGTCCCAGACCCAGTGGGCGTAGGTCCCGAACATGAAGAAATGTTTTGGAACCGTACACCTACTTTGTAATACCAAGAAAAATCCGATTATTCTTTGATTGGACTCATAAACTTTCATTGGACGCATAAAAGTCGATTGGACGCATAAGCTGGAGTAGAGCCTATTAATTTTGTAAATAAATAAATGAACTAATAAAAATTTTAAAGAAATTTCAAATAAAAGTTTAAAATTTATATACTAGATTTTCAATTTAAATTTTCCATCCCGCTATATAAAACTCTTCTGTTTTGTTAAAATATATTTAGTTTATAAGAGGAAATAAGTTATTAATTACCGACATTTGTTTGTGTGTGTTGTTCGATATCTACTAAATATAATTTTAAAATCTTCTTTTCCCTCTCGGGCAATTAATTATTTCCCGTTAAACTGCCAAAATAAAAACCCGTCTATTGTGTGAATTAAAATATTAAAAATATATAAAATTATATTTTTTTATTAAATAAAAAGGTATATATTAATTCCGGATATTTTAATAACTACCCTGGGTAATTATTGTTTCGACCTTATGCTGGTGGGAGTAATTATTCGAGGGAGGGGAATTATAAAAGGTTTGAAATAGGGCTAATTCAGTGGCAAATGCTATTTTCATGTTTTGGTAGATAATCTTGGGTTCTTGAGTCGGATTTATAAGGGGAATTATTGAGAGATTGTTTTTCGGCTGAATTACTGTCGGGATTAAACAAAAGTCTTGATCTACAAGTCTTTTGTCGAGAATATTCACAGAAAATATTTGGGTATCATCAGTTGTTTCAGTTCTTATGGGTACTAAACACTGACTTTCTGGTGGGATACTTAGGGATTTAAACGCTCGAATTCCCATTACACGAAATTTCGGTTTAATTCCCATTGGGGTTGAATTAATTCCAATGGTTAGTGTGTTTTCTTTGTGGTTGAAAGTAAGAGGGGGAAGCTTGGCAAAAGTATCGCAACCTAAGATTACTTCATAATCTTTGGTGTTATGGAAGTATTTGTCGTCTACAAATTTTATTTCGATTGGGATTATGTGTCCTGCAATGCATATTTGAGCGTTGCAGGATGCTATTATAGGCATGTGGTGACCGGAAGCGCTAATTGCACCTAGTTTCTCATATTTAATAGGAGCTACTAGTTTCTCTGCTATACTTATAGGGGCTGCTGTAAATGTTGCACCTGTGTCCGCAAGGCAACTAAACTTATAATTATTTATGTAAGCTGTGATAGTGGAGTTATAGAATTTACTTGTCAGGGCTAATATTTGTGGCAGAGGATTGTTTGTTTGGATTAGTGGGGTGGTTTCTTCGCCAATTGAGAGAAGAGAATCCTCAAAGTTTATGATCATAGCTGGGAGCTGAGTGAAGAGATTACATCCTAATATAATTTGGAATGAACCTTCTCCTATAAATTTGTCATTAGGCACTAAGTATAAGTCAATTTCTCTGAGTGGGAGCAAATAATTATTTCTACGATTGTTTTACCTATTATAGGGACGTTATGACCAGAAGGAGTTGTTACTATAAGTTCTCCTTCTATTATGGGACAAAGCAAACCAATAGCAAGTCCTATTGGGGCTAACGAAATTGTCGACCCGGTGTCTATGAGTAGGGACAGCCAAAATATGCACGGAAAATTGCCAAATATGCGCATATATATGCACCGAAAAAGCCCAAAATATGCATCAAAATATGCAAAATTTGCCAAAATATGCAGTTAAATATGCACCAAAAAATAGTTAAAATATGCTTTAAAAATCAATATTTTAATTTAAAAACACTAATTTAGCCTTTAATTTTACATTTTATGAACACTTCTAAAGGATTTAGTATATTTAAAATTTCTGCAAAAATTTTGGGGAAAAAATTTTCCCCAAAAAATTTTCGAAAATATTTTTTCAAAAAATTTTTATAAAAAAATTTTTTTGACCAAAAAATTTCAAAATTTTGGTCAATTTTTGGCAAAATTTTACAAAAAATGCCTAAATATGGACCAAAATATGCAAATTTTGCCAAAATATGCACAAATATGCAAATATGCACGAAATGGTCGAAATATGCAAATATATGCATTAAGAACCGGGTCCTAAAGTGCCCGTACCTATGTAAAAACACCATTTTTGGGCTTCCCACTTCAAGGCATATTCGCATACAAAACATGCATTTGCATGTTTTGGCTGTCCCTATCTATGAGGCAATCGAAACTCATCGAGTCGATTGTTGCATTAACTATTGGAAGGGAGTGGTGAACCCAAGTAGAATGATTGGCAGTAAAATCATAATTGGACCAATTAATTAGTACATTTAATGAGTGCGATCGCCTTCGGTTTAAGCGATTTTTTGAATTATTTGCATCGGGTCTTGGTACAGGTGCTGGAGGATAAACAAGAGGGAATTTTGTAGCCGAAGGTGGCCATTTAGAAGGTTGTCCTTCACATGGTCGACCTAGCTCTAATAATATTTGAGATGGATGATTTCTAAATTTAGCCTGATGCTTAACAGTAGCTTCAGCTTTTGGCTTATTTTCATGTTCTGGATTTGGTTTAGATGGGGTTTGAGATGAAAAAATTCGTGCTGAAATTGCTCTAATTAAAGAAAATTTCTTCAAATAATTTTCAAGTAGTAGGACTGAGAGTCTAATTATTATGTCTATTGAGGCAATTATACATATAACAAGACAAAAATTGTTTTGGAAGTTTGACCAATCGCCTAAGGTTTCGCGGATTATTTCTTGTCTAACTTGTTCCCAATCACTTGAAAATGAGGAAGTTATACCTGAACTTTGTTGCTCAATTCTGTAAGCAATCTGGCTAATTTCTGCTAAATTTGTTAGATATGAATGGGCAATTATGTCCGTGAGGTTTACGAGAACCATATGGTGGAAGGCATGAGGTTCGATTTTGGGTGAGTCTATTTTATGAAGGGATTTACTGGTGAGTATTCGACTATGAAGAGTAATTTCTTCACCAGTTACTTGGTCAATTTCTATTAGTGTATTGTTAATCTGGATTGGAATTTTCCTATATTGTTCACAAGGGGCTTTTCGGGCTTTTGATGAAATAATTAGAGTTGTGGGGTCTATGAAAGATAGTTCACTTTTCCCTTGGGTGTTGAGGATAACGGGTATTAAGTCAAAACATGTGTCTAGATTAGTGGGTGCAAATTTGTATTGTGTTGGAGAGAGGGGAATACAAGGCCATATTTTTAGTGTATTCCCTGAAATGTATCGAGCTATTAAATTAGGGTTGCGAAAAATTGTCCGGGCTAATGTGGTTGGGTCTGTGAGCATCGCAGTTGTGGTCCATTTGCGTGTTTCTTCTGCAAACTCGCAAAGTTGGTGAAGTGAGTGGGAAAATTGAAAGGTTAAGGAATCTTTTACTTCTTGGTCCAAATAGGTTAGTTGACCTTCTAATTGGCTGTCAGTTACTAGAGTTTCGTGATTCCAATTCCATTCGAAGGAGGATGGGGACCTTTTGTGTCTTTTTGGTTTATTGTCTTTGATTACTTCAAAGGCAAATCCTTGTTCAGTTAATTTGAGGGTTTTGTTACAGTCACTGATATTTTGGGACTTAGGGTCAAGGGAGAGGCCTAGTTCTATTTGGTTTCCCATCCATACATTTGCCATTACATGACCTTTATATTCTCCAACTGGAATATAAAGACATTGTTTTTCGGGGTCAGGGGTCCAGATTAACGTTGTGTTATCAGAGAGGGTACAATTTCCTTCTGTATAACGGCAATGGTTCATGTTACCGAGGGAGGATTGGATTGTTTCAGATGTATGTGGAACTGAAATTTCTGTTTTAAAAACATAACAATTAAGAGAGGAATGAGATCTCCAGGACCATCCAACAATGGGAAATCTCTTTTCATAGTATAATCGGTTATCAGTATGCCAAAGGCCCGATTCTTCTTTGAGGGTCCCGAATTCACAACGTTTGTCTGAAACCATTTTTTGGCAAGTTAGTGGGGGGACGTAAAGATTAGTTGGCAGAATGTTCTTTGTTATAAGATCATTCATAGGGTTTGTGTACTCATTTTCTTGTTTCCTAATAATTCTACAGGCCCAGGCTTGGTTATTTTGCTTGAAGGCGTTAAGACGATATAATCTAATATTTTGAGGTACGGGAGATCCAGTCAAGTTGGGTTTTATTCGAGGGCATGGGGCAAATTCAGGTAAAGACCAGTATTCACCACGTTGTTCTGTTTGACAGACCATTGGACTATTGGGTTTGTAATTTAAATTAACCATTGTTTGTGGATAAGCAAAGTATCCGAGAATAATTAAAATTAAAAGAAATATTGTGGATAAGCGCGTTATGAATGGTGCAATAGAGTAATTGGATCTATTTAGAGGAGGTTCCCATTTTTCAATTTCGCTTGGGCGTTTAATCTTGTCTTCAGGTTTATTTAAATTGCCTTGTTTCTCTTTTGGGCTTAAAAGTTTTGGGTTTATTTCAGGTTCGTTAATTGAAAGGGTTTTTATATTGTGTGGGCCGATGTTAATGTCAAGGTTGTTAAAATTATTAGATAGGTCATCAACGTCTAAAGTATTTATACGTCTTGTGTTATATTGAGATGGGTAATTATTTTGGTTTCTGGGGTATGAAGCGTTACGGAATGGTTGTTGAAAATTTGGGTTGTGGGCACGAATTGTGTTCTGGTAAGGGCCATAATTTCTTGATCTTGTATAACATTCATAAATTAAGTGTCCTGCCTTGTGACAATAATTACAAATCTTAATGTTATTCATGTTTGGTTGACGCCCAAAGGATTGGTTAAAGTTCCTTGGTTGATTAAAGTTTCGTGCAAGGGAGTTGGGTTGAGTATTTCCTCTAGGGGTATTTTGATTAAAATAATTTCTATACGAAAAATTATTGTTTCTGGGTTGTCCTTGGGGTCCTGAGTAATTTGAGTTTCTGAATGATGGGCTATAATTTCTGTTTACTGCATCCGAAAATCCTACTGTTTTTCTATTCTGGTTAGTGTCATTTTGCCATGTGGAAAAATTTCCACTTGGGAATCTAGGTGGGGCCTGTTGGTTTATTTGAGATATGGCGCTGAGCCATTCCTCATTTTCATGTTTACGTTTTCGGGTCTGTATAAGGTTTTCAACTTCTAGAGCTTTTATTCGTACTTCCTCGAAGGATTGTTGGGGTGTGATTCCGACTCTAACGTAAAATGCTATTTCTTCCTTGATTTTATCTAGGAAGGCGGCCTTTAGTATATCTTTCCTAGATTGTGGGCTTTGTTCGGGATACGCAGCAAATATTAAAGGTACAAGACGGTCAACAAATCGATCTATTGACTCATCTTCTTTTTGGCGGCACAGAGACAGGGATTGTTTTGCGAGCTGAGCGCGGATCGGGGTATCTAAGGATCGTTTCAGGGATTCAATAGCCTTGGTCAGGGTGTTCTTATCTTCAGGGGGTAATTCTTCAAGTACTTGTCTGGGAATCCCATCTAAAAACATTTTAAGGCGCCCTATTTTTGAAGGTTCATCAAGTTTCTGGGCAGTGCCTTCAATATAATCCAGGAATTTTTGCGCCCAGGAGGAAAAAGTGCCGCTTGATTCCCCTGAATAAATAGGTATTGGGCCATGAGAGTTGGGAATATTGTAATCAAATGTTAGTCCTGCTATGGTGCCAATATTATTATTAATATTTTCATCTTCAGGGTCAGAATCTTGTATGTTATTGTCATCAGTATGGATTGATTTTAAAGTGGAGCTTTGTTGTTGGATCGAGGATCCTACAACATTTAAATTTTGGTCTTCACGGTTCAGGGTTATTCTGGGTTGAATGTTCGGCTTAGGGGTCGAATAGGTAAATTGGGGCATATCATCAATTCT